AATCGTAATGTGTATGAGAATAAACAAAAATCTATAATTTCAATTTATAGAACATTTTATATAACAAATTATTATATTTTTATAATAAATTAAGAATACTCTAAAATTTTAATGTTAAACAATTAGATTTCATCAATAACATTTTCCTCATAATAATCAAAAATTTAAATTTTATTTTTAAGGTAATTCTTGAAACACAATACCAAACAATATATTATGCAGCTAGGTAATATATGAAAATTATTGAAAAATTTTAGTGTTTCATATATTATACTTACATATTATATTGATTTTTAATTATTGTTATAAAATATTAAAATTCGAGACATGAAAATCAATAAATAATTGCCTGATACTATAGAATTATATCAAAAAAAAAAAATTTCCATTAACACACGCCAATAATAGTTTTTCTAAGAATAAAATTTTCGTTTTATCAATGGACAACATTTAACTGAAATTATAATAAAAATAAAAGTTTCAGGTGTTCAATTGTTGATCATTTTAAATAATTAACCAATTTAGCTGTTTTTCTTTTCTTTGTTGCTTACACTCTTGGAATAATGGGTTTAAGTAGTAAATAACGTAGCTACTTTTAAAATATACAATATATGGTATGCCATTAGTGTTAATAATTTTACTGTTCTAGAAGTTGTCGAAATTTGTTATATATATTGGCTATTTTAATTAGATATTTCATTAATTACTTAGTTCTAAAAAAAAATTAATTAAAACTGAAAACTAAATGTTATTGCTTTAATTATGAATTAAAAGGAACTTATTGTAAACTTCATGTATGTTGGCATAAAAAATATTTTAGATTTAAATTTTGGTATAGTATTGGCAAACTAAATTTTAAATTTTTAAAGGTTCTAAAGCGTGTCAAGTAATTTTCTTAAAAAAATTTATGTAGTTTTAAATTTCATTTCAAATTTTCCATACATTTTGGAATATTGAAACATTAATAATTACTGTTTTCATATGAATTTACCACGAAATTCAACTAGAAATTCTATCAATTACATCCAGTATTGCATATTATGAGCTACATTTTTTAAATTACAAATTTTTCTTAAAATTGTGAATTTCTAAATAAAAGAGATTAACCAGTGTTATATTAAGTATGTAGAATAACCATGTTTCAAATTTCCATATTGATAGTATCATATTGTTCACTCTAAAGCAATAAATTTCGGGTACACTATCCACTTTGAAATAAGAATCCAACATTAATTTACTACCTCACAAATTTCGATTATAATCTCTTATTCTTTCCAATTCGGCGAATTAACCCTAATATCTCTTTATAATTTAATGAATCATTTACTCGAATTTTTATTCATTTCACATTATACATACTACTACAATCGGTCAAAATCATTTTTAATTCGAAATGAATGAATTTTTTATACTAAAAATAATCATTTTTTTTTTTTTTTATTAAACAACATAAAAATAATATAAAAAAAATACAAATAAACGAAACGGATTTGATTTGATGTTAGAATTTTTAATGTTATTTTCCAAGATTTATTTAATATTTTTAGTTCTAACAAAGCACTTGTTGTGTAAACTTTATAATAAAAACTAACGTGTGTTAAAATTGAACTTTTATAATATAAGTAGACAGAAGTTATTATTTAATATTTTTTTTTTCATTAAAATCAATTTTTTTATTTAATAATTTCAATGTCTTCAATTTCATAATTCAAATATTAAGTTTAAGTTTGAAAATATTCAATACAAGTTGTGATAATCATTACCATAATAGTTACCTACAATCAAGGATTTTTTTTTTTTTTTTTTGTAATTTATTAATAGATTTTATTTTTTCTGCTTCATTATTAAGGTAATAATGATGATGTAAATATTTATTTATTATTATACCTTAAAAAAAATAACAAAATTATGAAAAATAAACAACTAAAAATAAAATTTTTTATAAATAAAAAATTTAAATTGAATGACGATCTTTTCAAAACAAAAACAAAAATATACTTAAAATAACAATTTTTATTAACAAAGTACCTATATATTTATAAAAAACGTCATAGACAAGGTAACTGACTCAGGTGGAATATAACGAATGATTAAATAGCTATTTTTGTTTAGTTTATGTTGAATCTTCTTTAGTTTTTTTTTATTATTATTGTTGGTAATTAAAGTTTATCGTGATTCATTGATAAAAATTTTACATAAAATAAAAAAAAAAATAAAGATACTTTAGACATTAATTATTTATAAATTTATTTTAATATCATTAGTTTATTATGCGTTTACTTTTTTTTTATTTCATAGTTAAAATAATAATAAAAAAATTTTTATATTTTAGGCATAAATTGTGGTGCCCATATACAAAGTGTTAATTTTTTGTTGGAAGGTACATTAAAAACTTCTTTATGTCCAAAATTTGAAAAAAAAGCAAAAAAAATGATTTCTATTTGTTATTTTGTATAGTTTAAAGTATATATGTATGTACATATACTTTGAATTATAGTTAAAGTAATGTTGGAATAGAGTAAATTTGATTTCATTATAGAAGTGAAATAATTGTAAAAATAAAAATAATAAGGTATACAGATGTACCTAAATTGAATCTAATTTAGAAATGTTGGTAATTGTTTTTGTTATTGGTAATTATTATGAAGATTTTTGTGTACTATAAATGTTTAAAGCTTACGTGCTAGATATATGCACTTCAAATTTTAAATTGATATTATAATATATTATAATTTAGGTGTTTGTTTCGAAAAATTGATCACTGAAATTTGTTTCATTTTAAATGAAGTCATAATATTTTATGTACTATGTCATCATGATGTTGATTCTAGCCTTTTTAAGAATGCTTATAGTTTCACAGACCGAAAGGGCATTAAATGATGAAATTTTATTTTAAAACCTTTAAAGTAATCTGAAATAAAATTTCAAGGATTAACCACTTAGATAAATCCTGAATTTCTTATGCAACGTTTCGAAAACTAATTAAAGTAATTTTTAATAATATAATATTTAATAACGTAGCATTTCAGTTATCAAATCACAAATTTTGAATAATATTTGAGTAGAAATTGTTAGTTTTTTTTTACTTTTTGAAAATTTTAATTAGCTATTACATCCGTGCTTTAATAATAAATTATATATAAATAGTGAATGTATACTCATTATTAATGTAATTATGGAATTCACTTGTAGTTTAATTATGTATTTAATTATATATTATTTTTATATTTAGTTTTCAATAATTAAATATTTTAATTTCCATATTGAAAACTTAACATTTTTTCATATATTAAGCAATTCTACAAAAGCATTAATTAAATTTCTATTATTTTACAATAATAATTATAATATAATAAATTATTGAACTTGAGCCATCAATGTAATAATAAAATGACATTAAACTTTTTATATTTTAATAAAAAATTATTGTTCTAAAATATGTACATATTACATAATAATATATATGTATGTACATAAAATGATATTTTAGTTCTTTTAATAAAATATTTCTAATGATTCTGCGTTATTATAATAATATGTTTTAAAAACCATCAGGATCAAAAATATCATTAATAATTACATTTATTAGATTTAGGAATATGTGTTTGATTGGTTTTCCATTTATTAGATTCATAAATAAAATTTTCATATAAATAAAAGAATATATTAAAAATCCAATTTAATAAATATATTGAAGCTATATTGTGTACATTAATATTATTTGTATAATATTCTTAATATAAAATATAGTAATATGAAATAGAAAACAACTATAAATATCATTTTAATTAATATGTCATCGGTTTTAATATGTTATTTATAGATTCTTAAGTAATTATTATTGTATATGAATTTATGTAGTACATAATAATATACCAATTCAAATATAATTTATGAATTATTGTAAGAAAAGAAGAAAAACAAGTTAATAATATAGGAAATATAAGTAGAGAAATTATTTTGATATGAAAAGCCTATTCTTAATGTTCATAGAAAAAATTTTTTTAACACTTTTCACTGACATAAATGTGATATACAAAAGAAGAATATGATAATTAGAGTGGTTCTGTTTATGATTAAGAAAAAAAACTTTTGTAATTTTGAAAAAAATTAAGATGTTATTTGGTTGAAATTTGTTAGTGTAAGAAAGAGAATTTACATAGTCATAAAAATTGATGCACTGTCGTATGTGATTCTAACATTTTTAAGTGTTATCATTAATTTTATGTAGGCAGTTTTTATTCAATATTAATTTTAAGAGAGTTACAAAAATTAAAATGTATTTTTTGACAAAATGATTTGGTAAAAAAGTTTTAGATTTCATTTCTCATCATCTCTTCTATGAACTATTACTCTCTATATCTTTAAATTGTTGAAGCGTATAAAATTCATCCAAACATTATTAGATATAAATTGATTTGCATAAAGGAAAGAATAAAATTTTTTATAACTAAATACCAATAAAATCATTAATCAACATCTCGGTAATAATAAAATTATTAATAGTAATTTAAAAATAATTATTAATTGAATTATTAACCATAACTTATAAATTTTTAAAAAATAATTAAAAAGTCATTTTAGGGTTCTCATAATTTTATAGGCCATAATAACAAAATCTTATAAATTAATAAAAATTTTTGCGTTCATTGTAAAAAATTGCCAATTTTCCTTTATACATATATGCGCACTTATATGGCAAAAATTTATTTTGTTCTTTTATTTTTAAATATAGTACAATTAATTTTCCTTGCCATTCACTTTGATTTATTCATACCAATTAAAACAGTTAAAATAAAATTTTTTTTTTAGAAATAATAAAGGCTTATAGCATATTTCTATAATTACTATTATTTTCACCGTACGAAAAAATATGAAATGAAAAATTTTATGATAGCATAGATGATGATTCTTTTTTCTTAATAAGTACAAAATAAAGAATATTCAAAGATAAATATCTATGTAATTAAATTTCTTTTTTTTTTTTATTTTCATTTTAGATCGACCAAAAATATCAGTATAATAAATTAATGAAATGCAACTCAAAACATTTTATATGGTTTAATAAACTGAATGGTGATGATGAACATTATAAAAAGTAAGTACCCAATTTATTTAGTATAAGAATATGAAATTAATTTTAAGAAAAATTTATATATAATATGACAATTTTAAACTATTATACAATGCATTCGTACACGTACACGTTTCTACATATATCTACTTATATAATAAGATAAATTGCGTTCTCTATGCATATGATGAAATCTCATAAATTATTTTCTGTACTTAGTAGTATACCCGTATATTTTATACGTTCATAATAATGTAGTTTTACTTCTTTTATTATTACCTATATAAATTTTTGAATTGATGATGAAAAATAGTATACACTTGTTTTTTATTTAAGAATCTACTCATATATGTATATATATATAGATATGGGTTTTTTGCTAATTGGTCATAACCTTAGGCCATTAACTTTATAACCTTAAAATTTCATTCTATAACGCAATTCGCAAACGAACATATTATGTTCATATGAGTGTCAATAGGAAAATATTATAGGTTTACTATACATATGGGTAGTTTTAGCTTGTAAGAAGAATTAATATAAAAAAAAATTCTTAATTTAAAATAAATTGATTTTAATCGAAAATTAACCATGAAATTGGAATAAAATGAAATTTTTTAGCTTTTAAACTCAAATATAACGGTAATTAGAAAATTAACTAAAACATTTGCAAATTTCATTTTTAAATTTTTCAATACATAATTTTACTGAAGAATTGGTTTTTTATTATAAAATATTAGGAATTTATTTCTTTAATTACTTAACGAATTCAAAATTTTTTTGTTTAAAATTTTGATTTACTATACTTGTTCTAATAAGGCTGCTATTTTCGTTTAAACTCGTCTTATTGAAATAACAATAGTCTTTTTACTTTTATTACAATAAAACTTTTAAAAATGTAATATTTCTAATAAAAATTATTAGAATTTTATTTAAATCGATATTATTTAAATTGAAACTAAATGTGTAACTCAAATTCAAAATGAACTTTGATTATTTAACGAAAAATTGTAGTGCTTTGAAGTTAACAAGAAAATTCTTTTTCATCATAAAAACTTGAATTAAGCAAATACAAATATAAAATTTATTAAAATTTTTATAATTTTTTTAAAGAAAAGTTATCCTTTTTATGAATTTCATTGTTTATTAATGATTTTATTTATTTTTACTCATAATATCATTAATATTGAGGTGCAAAGAATGAGAATCAAATAAAAATTAATTCATTTTGTCTTTATTGTGATACTTAAAAACTAATAATACTCCTATTATTACAAAATTTAAAACAGAATCAGGCTCCCTATTTTTACTCTCATACATACTTGTTTGCGTGTACAACAATATAAAATCAAATTTGCATTTAATTCTTTACTCCTCATAGATTATTAAGAAATTTTATATAAAAATGTCCAATAATTTTTAAAATTTTTTCAAAAATATAAAGTAAATATTGAAATATTAAAAATAAAATAACAAAATATAAATGTTTGAAATTAATTTTTTCTCAAACTTTTACGAAATTTTTTAATTTTAACTTCAGTTTTTTCTCCCGAACAGTTTTTGATTAAAATTATTGTAATAATCTTTACTTTTTATATTGTTTAACATTTTTATTAAACATTTTATTTTTAATTTATTATGACATTTTCTTGGACATTCCATGTGTTATACAAAACTTTTCTAAAATGTTATTAAAATAGTTTAATATGAAACGTAAGGAATCCTTTGGGAAACATATACAAGCATAATATGTTCTGTTATATATACAAAAAATTTATATGAAACTTAACATTAAGAACAACAATTTCAATAACCGTTTTCTTATATAAAAACAATTATCCTTTTGGGATGCATTCCTTGCAATATAAACTTATTGTTTGCTTAAAATCATTGAATCATTTTATTTTATTGTTTCTTTTATTAAGGTAATAAGTATATTTTGTATTGGAAGTTGTATGTTGACCTCCCAAAATTATATAATTTTACGTATTTATTTTAATATCTGCTTCCGACATAGTGCTGTTAGAAAGGTCAATATACAATTGAAACTATTAAAATGCTCAAAATACTTACAATAAATTGGGAATTATTTTGAAAAGGAGTAAATTATGATATTTTTTAACGCAAGATATGAAAATTTCTCGAAATTTTTTTGTTAAATTTCAAGGAATTGCGTCTAAATTTTTATTTTTTTGGAATTTTAAGGAATTTTTTATTCTGTACCCATAGGTATATGTATTAAAAAACTTTTTTTATACATAAATATCTCCAGCTCTTTTGTTATGTTAATGTACATATGTGCCATTCTTGCTCTATTATATTTTTCTTTCGCAAATATACTCACCTACTACTCGTAGATCAAATTCATTTAACTTTTTTTAAATAAAAAAAAAAAATTTCATTTTGTTTACGAATACAAAACAAAATCAAATATGAAAATTTCACTTCTGTTTACATTAATATCTCTTAAATATTAAAAAAAAAAATAAGAAAAACAAAAATGTTATTTATAATTCCTTACATGTTTATGACATTTGCAATTTCCTTAGATTAATGTATAATATTCATTAATATACTCGTATGTGTTCAAAATGTTAAAAGCACTTCTTTCTGAAAATATTTTTTATTGTATTAAAATTGGGAAATTAATTGTTGATTTTTATGTTAAACATATTTTTTATAAGCTTATGTTAAACATCATTTTTCAAAATTCTAATAGACAAAAATGATAACAAATCTCTATACAGCTGGAGTACATAAATTATGAAAGTAGAAGTATATTATACTCGTAATGTAGATATTCATATCGTAAATTTACGTATGTATGATATTGGTATGGTACGTATTCAAGAAGAATTTATTTGCTCAAAATGATTCGCAATAATCAAGTTAAAATTAAAATGTTATTAATATTTGAGTATGATTAAGTTGAATGAAAAGCAGAGAGAAAACACTTCAATATGAATTTTTAGTAATAATGATATTCAAACTCAATAATCGAGTGTTGAATTTCTCAAATACAAAAATTCTCAAAACTGTTTTAATTGTTAATAGAAATTTATTTTAATTTCTGAGATAACTCAGCTGGTATTTTAAACCATTAACAGGAATTTTATAATATATGTACTTTCAACATTCAAAATATAACTAACGCCATTTATTACAGTTGCTGTTGACATACGGTACTCTTTAATCTCTTGCCATCTCTTGTTTTCTATTTTTTGTAAATTGAATCTGACATATCAAACAAATAAATAATTGAAAATATTAATTTATTTTAAAAATTTTTTCCCAAATAAATTACTTTCTAATTATACCAAAGTTCTTGATTATATTGACTACTTAATTAACAAAAATTTGCAAGTTAATTAAAATGAATTCATAAATCATAAAGTTCATTCTATTTGTTACCGTAAGTTCATACTTTCATATTTAATCATATAAGAATAATATTCTAGGTGTAGCAAAATATTTCCAAAATTTTTGAATCAAGTTTGCCCTGTTTATTTTGCATACGTTTCTTATAATAACATTTTTGTTTATTTCTAATTAAAAATTCTATGTTTACAAAAAAATACATTGTTGATCGAACTAAAATCTTCAAATAGATCAGACAATATTTTTTTGTTCTACAATTTTTTTTATATGCTAAATTCTCAAAATTCTTAATTTACTTATAATTTTATCATAATTTGTTTTTTTTTTGTTATTTTAAATGAACTTTTCACTTAATTGAAATTCACAAATAGTTGCCAAAAAAATTTTTTTTTGTTTATTTAAATGTACTATATACAAATGAATGTTGTTACTACAGTTTAGCTGCTAAATTTAGTTGCAATAATCACAACAAATAACAAGAGATTGTATATTTTTCATAGCTATGTTATATTTAAAAAAAAAAAATGAAAATTTGATCATATGGTGGTGATTCCCTGAAAATTAATCTAAACATTAAATTTCACCTTGTAACAGTAAATAAATTTTGTGATTTAGACAGGTAAATTTTTCGTATGCGTTATTTTAAATTGAAATATGATTTTTAATGTATGAGAGAAAATATTATTTAAAAATTTGAATAGTTTTATAAATAATTTGAATTGAGTTGAGGGGTGCTAGTGTATATTCACTATTTATGTAGTTATTCATCTAATTATTCATCTTCATCTAAATATTTTTTAAGTCATTTTTTGTTAATAAATTTTGTAAAATAGCCTAGAGTAAGTTTTATATTAAACAAAGGTCTATTCTTTACATAAATCATAAAAGTTGTGGTATTATTAAATTTTAAATACCGACACATTATACTTTAATTCAATTCAATTGATTTTAATATTTTTATAGTCAGAAGTAGTGACTCACATACAAAATGGTTATAAGCACTGTATAATTATAACACAAAAATTATAGTCAAAGTTCATTTGCTTACATCAAAATTAAATTTTCTTTAATCAAAATCAATAATAATAACGAATAATTAAAAAGCAATAACAATGTTTCGCCCACTTAATAATTGAACCACCAACACCTTGTAAGTAATATTAATTGTATTTTACTCTTCTTTAAAGCCTAACCACTTATAGTACATGAGTTTTTATGAGTTTTACATTAAAATTTTCAAATATTAAATTACCATTTTGAAGAGAATAACCAACAAAACTACGTAAAAAAGCAAAAAGCCTATATATATATATACAACCACTAATAGTAAATTAAATTGAACTTGAATTATTATAAAAATTAAAAGTTTCGAAAATGCTTATAAAATATTATCTACCAAAATTACAATAATTTATGCATACATAAGCGTATGTACATATTATACATAAATAATACATTGAATAACAACAGCAATCATTAAACTAAGCAATTATTAAAATTACCAACAACAAGTTTACATACAACAACTTCCTCAACTTATAAAGTTAACTAACCAAAATGAAGAAGAAAATATTTAAAAAAAAAATTTTTCAACTATTCAAAAAATTTATAAGTAAAAAAAATGAAAGGCAAAAATTATGTGAAAT